TATAGTTTTAGTTATCCAGGCAAACATTATTCTGAATAAAGTAAGTAGAAAATGCTAGAAACACATAATTGGTAAATTCTGAGTCACATGCTGAAATCTCATGCTGCCTTATTCTTTCCCACTTGAGACAAGAATCATCTTGTGCACACACAAGGTATTTGCTACCCCCCCCCGTTAGTTACTTAGTGCCCATCTTGAGTAACAGATCCGCTGCTGTGGTTTTGCAGCTGCTCATGTTCAAGAAACCTTATTTCACTTAATAATGGCACCAAAGTACCAATTCTTATTATAAAACATTTTTATAACTTTTATTTTTCTTATTATTTTGCCTAATGTATAAATTGAATTTTATCATAGGTATGTATGTATAGGAAAAATAATCACAGTATATGTAAGATTCAGAACTATTCACTTTTAGTCATGTGCCTTGAAGCATTTCCTCTGAGGATGAGGAAGGACCAATACATTTCCACACACCATGACAGACAGAGGATGTTGTCTATTCTTTTAACATGTCCATAGTCAAAGAAACTAGAACAGTTTCTCCATGATGTTCGTTGTGAGCAAGATGTGTTATTTAGTCAAATGCTCTGCCATTTGTACTTCCAAGATGTGCTATTTAAATCTCTTTCATTGAGGGACTGGAGAGATAGCTCAGTGGTTGAGAGCACTGGTTGCTCTTGAAGAGGACCTGGGTTTGGTTCCCAGCACCCAGATAACGGATAGCAACCATCCATAGCTCCAGTTCCAAGGGATCTAAGGCATTCTTCTGGCCTCTGTGGACACTGCACACATGGGTGCACTTACATACATATAGGCAAAACACTCATACACATAAAATTAAATTTAAAAACTAAGATTGCTTCCACTGGGAGACCACCCTGGCAGTGGTGAACTAGAAGGAAGTTTTGCAGTGGGTTCCTCTCCCTAACTCGTTCATTTCCCAGGCTTGAGTATCTGTCCACAGCTCTACTTTACCAGTTCCTGTATATTCTGTGGCTCGTTCTGTGTCATGCCTTCCCACACAACAGGTTTTTCTCCACTGGAGACTTTCTCTAGTGTCTCACTTGAGGTCCATCCACTGTCTCCCTTTCAACAGTCCAGCTCAGCTCCCTACTCTTTCAAGCCTTTGATGATGTCTTTGGTGGTACCTTCCCCAGTTCTGTGAGCTCCATCATGCCCAACCTCACATCTACTTTGGTCCCTCCACATCTGTGGTGCCCATCACTCGGCTCATGAAGCAGTTGCCAAATGAATGAATGAGTGATGAATCACAGTTTCCCATATAAAGGCATTGTCTGTATTTCTCTAGATCCAGGAAGCTAGGCTTTAGTTGCCACTGGCCACATCCTAGGATCCCCTCAATTCCCTAGGGAACTCTGAGAACGAGCTTTTCAGCAATACTCTGGCTCGGTCTTGCAGATAGCTCTTCTTCATGGATGCAGAGTAAAAGGGTTTGCACAGCTGTCCTTAAGGAAGGGTGACGAGCAAAACACTGCAGATGCCAGCTCCAAGGTCAGAGCACCATCAGATACACTGAAATAATACTGCCCACTCTCCTGCCTCCTTAGAGACGCTCATTCTGGTAAGCCTTGGCTAATCACCATGCCTGAATTTCTGCACAGCAGTCGGCGATCCACAGCTAAAGACAACTTTCTTCCTCTCTGTTTGAGTCGCTATTGATTCTGTCGTTGAGAAGGAAGCTAAGTGCTATCCAAATACCAAATGTTCCATATGGTGGTGTGATTACCATCCTTGCTGCGGCTACACGCAGCCTTCCTGCACACACTCATGAGGTACCTCATCTGAGTCTGGAAGAACACAGTGAACTCTTTTCCTGACCTATATTTGCCAGCATATTTTTTTTGTCCTCTCTCCCATGAACTTTATAATTTTGTTCAGTTTAAATAAACATATATGTCTGAACATAAGTTTTATTTTCTTATTCACCTCCATTGTCACTTAAAGGAGATTTATTTATGACCATTAAAGAGGTATTCGTCAGCTAAAATCTCCTAATTAGGAATTCAGATGTTTCTGTTTTGCTCAGTACAGAGCTGTCCAAATTAGACTGGAAATTAAGGCCCCAGTGAACGCAGCGCCTTACACACACAAGCCGGTTGTAGAACCAGTGAAAGGCAGTTGCTGATGCCATCCAAGTGGCCCTGTGTTTGCCTCATTTGATGCCAAGTAACCTTTTGGCCGCTTTCCCTTCAATCTTGAGATGTAGTCAAGGGTGCAGGAACTCAGAGCCCAGCTCTCCTTTTGGTGTCTGTGTAGGTTGGCGCTGCCTTGCAAGCACTTGGAGGAGGTGCTTCTGACTTCACTTTCTTCCTCTTCCTTTTAGTGAAATGACGCTTATTTAGCAATAGGGAGAAGACAGGAGCCAAGTAGGGCAGCTCACACATGGTGCCAGGAGGCTAGGGACACGCACTTTGTGGCTCACAGGAGGCCTGCAGCCTGCCTGACCCAAGATACTTTCTGTACCCTGACAAGGCAGTCTGGGTAGGAATGAGGTTCTGGTGTTACTCAGAACTGACCCCGGGCACCTGTGGCAGGGCTGATGCCTGGATGTCCCAGCCAGGTGACAGGGTAGTGATTCCAAAACCCTGTCTCTGCCTTGAAGGTTTCCAGTGAGTAGCGTTCTCTGGACAGCGCTGACTTGGTGAACACTAATTAAATTCATTCTGAAGTATATTTAGACTCCTTCAGACATCAGAGGAGGATGAACAAACATGAGGAAGGAGGGAAAAATCATTGGTATCACACTTTGTTTACTTATATCATGATCACTTTCTCTTTTTAAAGATTTTATTTATTCATCCATTCATCCATTCATTCATTCATGTATGCACACACGTGTGCAAGCGCATGCATCTGTGTGCACTTGGAGAGGCCAGAGGAGGGCATCGGATGTTGTCCTCTATCTCTCTCCATGTATTCCTCTGATGCAGAGTCTCTCCCTGAACCTGGGCCTCCTGTCTTCTAGGCTAGGCTGTAAGCCAGTCTCCATTTGCCGTTCTAGATGAGGTGACAGGCATAGCTTGTCATATGGATGTTGGGATCTGGATTCTGGTCCTTATAGTTATAGAGCAATGGCTCTGATTTGCTGACCTATGGAATCTGCAGCCTCTGTGTCCTGTAGGGCTACCATAACTCTACACAGTTACCTTCCTACCGCTGTGCACAACATATGCATGTTTTACTCTACACAGACCCACATGCTCCTAACCAATGAGGAGTCTAACTACAGAAAGATGCTCATGAAGGCTTTTATGAAACACCTTCTTATTCTTTTTAAGAAGTGAAAAACTTTGTTTTCCATTGGAGAATTATGGCTATTCAGTGATTTCACAATTGTCTAAAAATACTTGGCTGGAAAGAAAGAACTTAAAATTCCCCAGGGCTCTTACACTCCTCCTTGATTTAGTATTATTTCTCAAATGTCAAAATCTGGCAAGTTTTAAGTGTGCTACTGTCTACAGAAGAAAAGTTCTTCAAAACAGTACAATCTGCAAGAAAATCCTCTTCTCTTCATGTACATGCGTCCTCTCACACACAGACATACAGAGATCCTTTTCTCATCATCAACTGGCAAAGACTTTTCTTATTTCTGGAACTCTCAGCATCAGAAGATTGTGAGGACATTTCCCCTGAAAGTAGGATCTAGTATGATTTGATTAAAAACAAGTATCAAGACTCTTAATACCTGAAAATTTTCCATTATGCTGTTCACCAATAAGCAATTATCCTAAGGAAGCCACTAATAAGGGGACTAAAATCAAGCTACATAAACATTTGGTATCATAAAAGTAAAAAATATATCTAAATTACTCAGTGCCCAGCTGGAGGGGATCAACTGAATGAATTTTGAGATACATGATTAATAGTATAATATATAATGATGAAAAATTTCATTGGAAAAATATATTACTATTGAATAATGTTGACTATTAGAGGAACAAATATGGGGCTAGAAAGATAGTTCAGTGGTTAGGAGCACTTTCTGCTCTTGCGGAGGATCAGGGTTCAGTTCCCAGTACTCACACAGTGGCTCACAACCATCCATAACTCCAGTTCCTGGGATCTAATGCTCTCTTCTGGCCTCTGTGGGCACTGCACACATGTGGTGCACATACATTCACACAGGCAAACACTCAACCCATGTTTGATTCTCAGCACCCATGTCAGGCAGCTCACAACTACCTATAACTCCAGCTCTAGGGGGATCCAACCCCTTGGACTACCATGGGCATCCACATTCATGTACACATGCTCACATACAGACACACAAAAACACCTACATAATTTAAAAAATATTCTCTTAACCACCGAGCCAACTCTCCAGCCCCAAATTATCCTTTTTTTAAATCTATGCCTTATCACACATCTTAATCAGTCATCTCAAAATAAATATTCTTTTCTTTCCTATTGAAAACATAGGCAATGGGAATTGGAGGGATGGCTCAGTGGATAAAACAGGTGCTTCTCAAGGATAAGGATCAGAGAGAGTCCACACCACCAGAACTCATGTAAAAGGCATGTGGACATTGTGGCCCACCTGTAATTCCAGCGGTTAGAAGGAAGAGACACTTGGTACTCCAGCAAGCTGGCTACTTAGACCACCCTATCAATGAGCTCTGGGAGACTCTGCCTCAATATGTAAGGCACAGAGTGACTGAGAAATGTCAACCTTGGGCCTCCATATGCACTGACATAGATATGAAGCTGCACACATGTGTGAACTCACAGTTGAGTCAACATACTCACACGTGTATGCACACCACACACATATACATGCAAAAAAGCAGCAGATCTATTTTTATAGAGCCAATTAGAATAAGTAGAAAGATAATATGTTAACGAGTAGACTGATGTGTGTGTGTGTGTGTGTGTGTGTGTGTGTGTGTGTGTGTAAGAACAGACTTGCCCCTTTACTTGTCTTGGAACTTGATAAGTAAACAACGATTACTTTGGTTAGAGGCTTTGGAGCTGCTCACCTGTGCTGTACGCTTTCATCGCAGTGTGGAACACAGCAGCCGGCTCCTCCCCAGTGGAGCTTTTCACACAGATTTTTCTTGAGTAGAAAAGGTGGCAATAGAGGGACTCAGTGTGAGAGGGCCGAACCTGTGGTTATAAAAACAAGACTCTTGGTTAGGCAGCTTTGTGGCCTTAATTAACACTATGTGAAGTCACTAAAAAGAGAAACTTCATACCTCTCTCTCTCTCTCTCTCTCTCTCTCTCTCTCTCTCTCTCTCTCTCACTGTTATTAACTAAGAAGTCAAAAAACTCAGTAAGCAGATCAGCCTTGTCTTAGTTTGTTCTTCATTGCTGTGACAAAACACTCTGACCAATACCAACTTGGGTAGGAAAGGGTTTATTTAGCCTACATCTCCCAGGTCACAGTTTATCAGGGAGCCTAAGGCAGGGACTCAGGGAAGGAACCCGGAGGCAGGAGCTGGAGCACAGGCCTTAGAGGAGCACTGCTTACTGGCTTGCTCCCTTGGCCCCTGCTCAGCCTTCTTTCTTGTGCCACACAGGCCCACCTTCCCAGGGGTGGCACCACCCACAGTGGGCTGGGCCCTCCCACATCACTCATCAAGAAGATGCCCCTCAGACATGGCCACAGGCCAGTCCAATAGAGGCAATTCCCCAACTGAGGCTCCCTCAACCCAGGTGTGTCAAGTTGACACTAAAGCTATCTAGCACAAGCCGCTTCCGCAGCATGAGTGAGTTCTGGCCAGCAAGTGCTTCCTTCTTCATCCCCTGACCTGAAGAACATCAACATCAATACAATTCTCCTCGAGGTCGACAAGATGGCTCAGTAGATAAAGAAGCCTGCTGCCAAGCCTGATGACTTGATTCAATCCCTCCACCCCATGTGGTGGAAGGGGAGGGCTGATTCCTCTAAGTTATCTTCTGGCCTCCATACATGCACAGTGGCTCAGGTGTGCATGGCTGACTCACACAGTACATGATAAATAGATTAAGATGTAATAAATAGTTTAAAAGGGAAAAGTCTTGATTCCAAGGTTTCAGAGAAATATAAAGTCCTTAGCTCTTCCCCAGAAACTGTCAGACACATGCTGAATTGTAGCTTTCTTATTAAGACTCTTTTACAAGTCGTTGAGTTCTGGAAGCTCAGTCAGGTATTTATGTCAGAAGCCCAACGATTTTACTCTCAAAATCTGAGTTTCTTTCTGTTGAATAAGATGGTAACAATGGACACCCAAAGCCATCACCGCACAGACCACATGTCCACAAAGCTCCTGGTGCAAAGCTAATCAGGTCACCTCCTCATCGCTTCATGAGCAAGCCAGTCATCCCCATCACCTCTGTACTACACACAAGAAAACTGATTGGGTGTAGACAGGCAGGTGATGATAAAGTCAGTAGTGAGGTTGATGTGGTTCACACAGCGTGCTTATAATGCCAGGCCCATGGCATCGCTACAGAACTGAATCCTCATCGGGTATGTGCTTATGATTTAAAATTTTAACACTAAGTCAATATCACGTCATTTCTCCCCAAAGTTGACACATCACCTAAGTTCTAATATTACCAATGTTTGGATAGGATAGTCCTTTGATTTTAATTTCCAATTTCAACTGAACTCAGTATGTTTATGTTATAACCGAGACTGAACTGATGGTTAATCTCAACTGTCAACTTGATTAAATCTAGACTCACCCTGGAGAGTCTAGCACCATTCCCTGGGCTGGGATCCTGCACTGAACAAAAGGAGGCAGTGAGCTGAGCACCTGTGTCCATGGCTCACTGCTTCCTGACTGTGGATACAATGTGACCAGCTGCCTCAAGCAGCTACATCCCTACCTGAGGAGTGGCCTGTATTTTCAAACTGTGAGCCAAATAAGCCCTTCCTCCATTCCATTGCTTTTGTTGGGGTATTTTATAACAGCAACAGGAAAAGTAAGGCTTTAGTTCAGCAAATTAAAAATATGCCAGATAATGCCAAACCTAGATGTTGAAATACTAAATAAAAGCCTAAAATACATACAAACTATTTCTGCCCAGCTAACAACTCCCTCAGACTCTACTCAATAAACTGTTCGTGCTTTAAAAAGACAAAGGTGTACAATCCAAGCCCTACCTACGTGGTTCAGTTTCATTAAAAAGAAGGTAGATAATAGCTCAGTGTGGTGTGCTCACCTGTAATCTAAGCATTTGGCAGGTAGAGGCAGGAAAATGAGGAGTCTGAGGCCAGACTGGGCTAAGCAGGAAAATAATAAAATAAAAAATCATCTAAATGAATATACAGAAATAAATGGAGATACTTTATGCATAATAGGTAAACAGCTTTATAAAAAGAGCTTCAAGATGTTTACCTATTTACAAATTCTTAGAGTTGAGGTCTCAAAAATCACAGCAACACAAAATAAACATAAACTTACCAAGAAACCAACAAAATTTAGTATGGGTCCTGTCGTGGTTTGCACATAGTTTGAAGGATGGGAGCATGTGTTAGAATGTTGTCCCCACTGTGGTGATGTTAAGTGAGCTGTGGCAAGACCTTCAAGAGGGGGAGACTGGTAGGCAGAAATTAAGTCACTGAGGTCACTGCCCTCAGAAGGGAGTGAAATAGCTTTCCTGAGGCTCTGACTTGGTTCTTTAAAGAGGTTTGTTAAAAACAAAACAAAAAGGGGGCGGGCAAGACTAGCCCCTGGCTTCCTGTCTTGCCATGAGGTCTCTCTCTCCCAGGAACTCCCAACATACCATTCACCATGGTTTGACAAGCCAAATGGCCCTTACCAGGCCCTGCACCATGCTCTTTGAACTTTAAGCCTCCCAAACTGAGATAAATGGACCTCTTTTCTTAATACTCAGCCTTGGGTATGCCACCATCATACCAGAAAATGGAGGATGATCCCCTTTTATGCATGTGTACGCTGTAGATATTTATCTGCTCTGCTCTGGTTGTGCTTGTGGGCTTCTGCAATGACTGTCCCTGGGTCAGCAAGCCAGCCCCTCCTTGATAATAGCTCATTCTTCAAGGTCTACCTCTAGTTGGCATTCTTAAAATATTTTATTTTTTTATTTTTATGTGTATGAGTGTATTGCCTTTATGTATGTCAGTGCACCATGTTGCGCAATGGTGTGGCGGTCAGAAGAGGGCTGCGGATTCCCCTGGAACTGGAGTTAAGGATGGTTCATAGCTGCCATGTGGGTGCTGGTAATCGAACCCGGGTCCTTTGCAAGAGCAGTCAGTGCTCTTAACTGCTGAGCCATCTCTCCAACCCCTATAGTTGCCATTCATTTGTGATGTCTTCCCTCTACTTCCCCCTGGTGTTTTCCAGAAATACACAGGGTGGTGTCTGCCCTTTCTCATGTTCTCTAGCTGAGCACTAGCATCATCTTCCAAATTATGCTCCTGTTCAACCATCAAGTCATTGACTGTTGCCACTGGCACAGAGCTCAACTCTCCCCTGCAGCCTCATGACTCATATGGATGATCTCAAGGGCGCTGTGACTGGCTTCCTTCCTTGCACCCTGGCCCCTACAGCCCATTCCTCTACCACCTTCCCCTCAGCTCCTGCTTACTGCCCTGCACTGGCTTTCCACTGAGTGTCTATTCCCAATGCCTGCCCCTTTCCAGCTCTGCAGGTCAGTGGTTCTGCTTTCTTTCAATGCCGTCAAAGCACTTTGTTCTGGCCCAGCAATGCTGTCTTCTGGACTCAGTCTGCCCCCAAATTGCTCCCTATTTCAGCCAATGACCTTGGGTTCTTTTCTCCCTCCACTCTCAGCTGAGGTCCCTTCTCTCTGGAGGAGTCCATGCCAGGTCTCTACCTCCTGTGTGCAGTTACGGGACCATTCTGTCTTCATTGTACTCCTCACAGTGTCACACTTTTTTTTTAAGGCGAGGCCCATGTAGCCCAGGCCTCAAACTCCCTGATGCGTAGCTAGACTCCTGACCCTCCTTGCCCTCTACCTCCCAGTGTTGCGATTACCCGCATGCACACACACCCAGTCCATAGAGTGCAGGAGCTTCATGCACGCTAGAAAGCACTCTACAACTGAGCTACATCTCCAGCTCAGCTTCACAATTTTTGGCTTGATTCATTGGCTCATTTCCCCCACAAACAAGGGAGCTCCAGGAGCTCAGAGTTGTGTGAATTCTTGCCCTCCTTTGTGGCTCATTTTTCAAACCTTGGAGAGAAGACCACGTTTCTGGGAAGACATTCCATGGTACCTACAAAGAAGAAAAGGCCCTCTTATCCTGCGGTTCCTCCCTCCTTTTACCTATCAGTATAAAAGCAATGGCCATACTTTCTTGTATGTCATTATTAAGCAACTCCTTCCCCTATATTTCAATTTCCTTAAAAGCAAAAGCAAAACTTTCATCTCATCATAGCAGCCCCTGGACTCAGCGGTCTGGCACATAGAAGTCATTACTTTCTGAAGGGCCAAAAAGGAATGTGCATATACAGGTGTGCGTCACTCAATATCAGGAAGAAATTCTGAGAAATTATCAAGTGACCATCATAAAGTGTACTGGCAGAAACACAGATGTGGACGTCCAGCCTACTATAGTCCTAGCTCGTATGGGATAGCCTGGACCCCTTGGGCTACAAACCTTCACAGTATGTACCAAACTGGAAACTGTAGGAAACTGCAGCATGTACTTAAGTATTTGTGTTTCTAAACATATTTACACATAGAAAAGGTACAATAAAAATATTAGCCAATGGGAATTTTTCAAGTCCGTATTAGTTACATATTAGTTACTTTTATTGTGATTATGACAAAATACTCAAGGAAGGTAACTCACGGAGAAAGAATTCATTTGGCTCACAGATCGAGGGTATAGTTCACTAGGGTGGGGAAGGCATGGTGGCAGAAGCTTGAGGCACATGGGTGCAGTCAGGAAGCAGTGAGAGGGGACTTCTAGTGCTCAGCTTCTCCTTTTTATTCAGCCTGAGACCCCAGGCATGGGACAATGCTGCCTGTATTTAGGGTATTTCCACCTCACTTAACCCCATGGACAGGCCCAGAGATTTATCTGCTAAGTGAATCTAGATCTCGTCAAACTCATAGTCAATATTAGCCATCATAAACGCCATTAAAATGCTATCATTGTATATAGCATTGATCTAAATGCCATGTGGCA